CCCCAAAACCCCAAAACCCCGTTTGATGAAACTATTCAATAATTGAATAATAAAACAATAAGATTAATAATAATATTAATATATACTTAAGATGACTTCTTTGGAGACAGATGCTTTTGAGCTTAAGCGTATGATGCGTTAGGAAGCCCACGAGAAAGCTTATGAGATCTAGGTGATGGGTCAGAGAATGTTTGAGAAAGAAAAGGAAAAGATTGTCTAGGAAGGTGTAGAGTCTCTAAACACTGAATTTGACAAGAAGCTCATGAACTTGACCATGAATCTAAATATTGAGAGATCCACAAAAATCAATCAGACAAGAATTCTCAGAATGACTGAGAGAAATAAGTGCATCGAAAAGGTCAAGGAAGAGACAAAGGAACAACTCCTTAAGACTATCGTCAACCCAACCAACTACATGTACAAAAATGCCATCAAGAATCTCATTATTCAAGTAAGTATTTAAGAGAGTGCTAGAAGATATTTAATGGATATCAAACCAATGATTTGCAGCAGTATTTTAAATTATCTTTGATGTGTAGGGTATGATCAAGTTATTAGAGCCAGAACTCTTCCTCAAGTGTAGAAAGGAAGATCAAGATTTAGTGAAATCACTTCTCCCAGAGTGCGAGCAGGAATTTAAGGATATCATGGCTAAAGAGGCTTCTGAGAGTGATCTTACTTATTCCACACAACTTAAACTCGTTGAAACTGAATATTTGACTAATGAAGAAGGCGGAGAATGCGGTGGTATTATTTTGTTTACTCCCAATAGAAAGATTGTTTGCTTAAACACATTGAAAAGTAGATTAGAATTGTGCTTTGAGGAGCTACTCCCACATATCAGAAAGCTCTTGTTCCCAAAGAAAAAGGAAGGTACTAGATGAACAGGGGTAATCCTTGCTTCATTGAGAGTGAGCAGAGTCATCATTTAATTTCTAATGATCTCAGTTATTTATCTAAATGCTTTATTTGTCATTTGCTTCTAATAATCTTTATATTTAAAGCATTTATTAATATTAGTCATATTTATTAAGTTAGGGTTACTTATAATTACTTCAAACTATCATCTAATATAATGAGTATAAAAAATTTGACAAAATAGTATTTAATGTGTGGAAAGTTAGAGATTAAATAGCTCATTCAATCACGAAACTTGGAGGAATTTCAGTAATCATTGAACAATAGTCTTGCTTCTACTAATTTGATTTCTTAGTTTTTCCTCTTCTTCTTGATACTTCATGGCTAGAATGACTCTCTCGGATAGTGGTTTCTTCTCAATTTTTCTATGATGCTCTCTAGATGAACCTACAACCTAGGTAGCCTTCATTTAGAATACTTTAGTGGCATTTGACAATCTCTATTGTTCTTTTCTAAGGGCATCACCACTTAATTTAGAGAGATCTTTAACTTTAATAGCTTGCTCCTATGAAAGAGTAAAAGAGTAATTGTCAGGATTCTTTGACTCGAAATTTCTTCCGTCTTGTTATTTCCCCTTTATTTTTTCACTCTGAATCATCAATTATACAAGGTAGTCAAATTTATCATTGATATCTAGGACTTGTTCTTTGACTGTTTTAATGTTATGCTTGTTCTAATCAAATGGAACAATGTTTTCGTTATCTAGTCTCTCTCTCTTCATTTGACTGAAATCGTTGTTCATCTGATCTTTTAGTTTCTCTAGTTCTTCAAAGCTTGGAACATAGTCTTCGTCAGGTTACACATTATTGTTATTCATCCTATCTCTTTTTTACTTGAATTCATTCTTTGCTTTGAAGTACTTGTAAGAAGATTTCAATGATTTAGCTGCCATTTTGTGGTTTGTAATTTAAGTAACAGCATTTTTCTAAGCATCAGAGAGATCAAAGATCTTTCCAATTGAAGAAACCAATAAAGATATGATAAAAGCACCCCAGAGAGCGTTGATAATAGAAATCAATCTTCCAAATGGTGAGACAGCATAAACATCACCATAACCTACTGTTGTCATTGTGATGACAACACACCAGATGGCAGTCTAATAAGAGTCGAATACTCTTTGGTTCTAACTCTGATAATATATCCTAAAATAAAAATTATTTAACGGCATAATTAATCTACTTTTCAAAGATTCTCAAGAGATATGAGAGCCACATAATTGAGAGTAGGGCAAGCACAAAGATGGTTAATGAAAGATTCTTCTTGTACATAGCTTTGAAGCAGAAAGAAGTATTGCTTTGGAAGTTATACTTCATGCATATCTTCTTTGAGCTTAAATCAGAATATGCAGAGAAGTTCATGATAGTTCTGATCACAAAATAGAATCTGAGGAACATAAATGCGAACAAAAAGTCTCCCAGCATGTACTTTACATCTACATAATCATTCTTTGCGGTAAGCATATTAATGATCTTAAAGGTGTACTCTTATTCGAAGTAAGGAAGTGGGTGGATGCAAAGCATCATGACTTCTGCCAAAAATTAGAAAGTAAGGACATTTGATAGCCATCTTTTGAATGTAGAGCCATTCTTTTAAAGCGATTTGATCTTTTTGGCGATTTCGGTTTTCTTTGGATCACTATCAGCTACAGTTCTATATTATTGTACAAAGTTGACTGCTCTAAGCTGTTGTTCATAATATTATTGGAGTACCTTCTTTGAACTTTTGAAATCCTCCCAATGGATCTGTGTCCAGTTTCTTACAAACAGAGTTACAACTGAGAGAAGTGTGGTGCAGGTAATTATAACTCTTGTGAAAGAATTAGCCATTACTGCTTCAGCTGTTCTGTTTTTATAATCAAATTTCTCTGATTCTTACTAAGAAAATATAAGTTATACACTTAAAATTGCTAAGATATTAGTAAACCTACCTCAACGACAGCTAGGATAAGACCAATCATTGCAAGAATAGTGGTGAGCATATCGAAATCTCTCCAATAGTTATAGTACTTCTAGTATCTGGCGTCGACTCGTTTCATTTTTTCATCGTTAACAAGTTCATCAACATTAATCATTGATGATTTATCAATACTTCCATGAGTGTTCATTGGCTTTCCCTCAAGAAGAGGTTCTAGATAAGCATCTTTTTCAGCTTCCATATATTAATATTGAAATTATAAATCAATATATAACTCATTAAGATATCTTGAATAGTTTCAAACTTTGCTCTACAATTACTATTTGGGGTTTTGGGGTTTTGGGGTTTTGGGGAGATCGGAAGAGCACA